AACTCCTCCAATTTGAAGAGCGTTTTCGTGACGGGTTAGGGGACACGGTAGGCCTAACCATAGAAAGATAGCCATGTTTTCAAATTCCTCCAGTCTAAAGAGCGTTTTCGTGACGGATTAGAGGAGACGGTAGGCCTAGCCATAGAAAGATGGCCGTGTTTTCAAATTTCTCCTGTTTCAAGAGCGTTTTCATGACGGGTTAGAGGAGACGGTAGGCCTAACCATAGAAAGATAGCCGTGTTTTCAAATTCGTCCTGCTTCAAGAGCGTTTTCATGACGGGTTAGAGGAGACGGTAGGCCTAACCATAGAAAGATAGCCGTGTTTTCAAATTCGTCCTGTTTCAAGAGCGTTTTCATGACGGGTTAGAGGAGACGGTAGGCCTAACCATAGAAAGATAGCCGTGTTTTCAAATTCGTCCTGTTTCAAGAGCGTTTTCATGACGGGTTAGAGGAGACGGTAGGCCTAACCATAGAAAGATAGCCGTGTTTTCAAATTCGTCCTGTTTCAAGAGCGTTTTCATGACGGGTTAGAGGAGACGGTAGGCCTAACCATAGAAAGATAGCCGTGTTTTCAAATTCGTCCTGTTTCAAGAGCGTTTTCATGACGGGTTAGAGGAGACGGTAGGCCTAACCATAGAAAGATAGCCGTGTTTTCAAATTCGTCCTGTTTCAAGAGCGTTTTCATGACGGGTTAGAGGAGACGGTAGGCCTAACCATAGAAAGATAGCCGTGTTTTCAAATTCGTCCTGTTTCAAGAGCGTTTTCATGACGGGTTAGAGGAGACGGTAGGCCTAACCATAGAAAGATAGCCGTGTTTTCAAATTCGTCCTGTTTCAAGAGCGTTTTCATGACGGGTTAGAGGAGACGGTAGGCCTAACCATAGAAAGATAGCCGTGTTTTCAAATTCGTCCTGTTTCAAGAGCGTTTTCATGACGGGTTAGAGGAGACGGTAGGCCTAACCATAGAAAGATAGCCGTGTTTTCAAATTCGTCCTGTTTCAAGAGCGTTTTCATGACGGGTTAGAGGAGACGGTAGGCCTAACCATAGAAAGATAGCCGTGTTTTCAAATTCGTCCTGTTTCAAGAGCGTTTTCATGACGGGTTAGAGGAGACGGTAGGCCTAACCATAGAAAGATAGCCGTGTTTTCAAATTCGTCCTGTTTCAAGAGCGTTTTCATGACGGGTTAGAGGAGACGGTAGGCCTAACCATAGAAAGATAGCCGTGTTTTCAAATTCGTCCTGTTTCAAGAGCGTTTTCATGACGGGTTAGAGGAGACGGTAGGCCTAACCATAGAAAGATAGCCGTGTTTTCAAATTCGTCCTGTTTCAAGAGCGTTTTCATGACGGGTTAGAGGAGACGGTAGGCCTAACCATAGAAAGATAGCCGTGTTTTCAAATTCGTCCTGTTTCAAGAGCGTTTTCATGACGGGTTAGAGGAGACGGTAGGCCTAACCATAGAAAGATAGCCGTGTTTTCAAATTCGTCCTGTTTCAAGAGCGTTTTCATGACGGGTTAGAGGAGACGGTAGGCCTAACCATAGAAAGATAGCCGTGTTTTCAAATTCGTCCTGTTTCAAGAGCGTTTTCATGACGGGTTAGAGGAGACGGTAGGCCTAACCATAGAAAGATAGCCGTGTTTTCAAATTCGTCCTGTTTCAAGAGCGTTTTCATGACGGGTTAGAGGAGACGGTAGGCCTAACCATAGAAAGATAGCCGTGTTTTCAAATTCGTCCTGTTTCAAGAGCGTTTTCATGACGGGTTAGAGGAGACGGTAGGCCTAACCATAGAAAGATAGCCGTGTTTTCAAATTCGTCCTGTTTCAAGAGCGTTTTCATGACGGGTTAGAGGAGACGGTAGGCCTAACCATAGAAAGATAGCCGTGTTTTCAAATTCGTCCTGTTTCAAGAGCGTTTTCATGACGGGTTAGAGGAGACGGTAGGCCTAACCATAGAAAGATAGCCGTGTTTTCAAATTCGTCCTGTTTCAAGAGCGTTTTCATGACGGGTTAGAGGAGACGGTAGGCCTAACCATAGAAAGATAGCCGTGTTTTCAAATTCGTCCTGTTTCAAGAGCGTTTTCATGACGGGTTAGAGGAGACGGTAGGCCTAACCATAGAAAGATAGCCGTGTTTTCAAATTCGTCCTGTTTCAAGAGCGTTTTCATGACGGGTTAGAGGAGACGGTAGGCCTAACCATAGAAAGATAGCCGTGTTTTCAAATTCGTCCTGTTTCAAGAGCGTTTTCATGACGGGTTAGAGGAGACGGTAGGCCTAACCATAGAAAGATAGCCGTGTTTTCAAATTCGTCCTGTTTCAAGAGCGTTTTCATGACGGGTTAGAGGAGACGGTAGGCCTAACCATAGAAAGATAGCCGTGTTTTCAAATTCGTCCTGTTTCAAGAGCGTTTTCATGACGGGTTAGAGGAGACGGTAGGCCTAACCATAGAAAGATAGCCGTGTTTTCAAATTCGTCCTGTTTCAAGAGCGTTTTCATGACGGGTTAGAGGAGACGGTAGGCCTAACCATAGAAAGATAGCCGTGTTTTCAAATTCGTCCTGTTTCAAGAGCGTTTTCATGACGGGTTAGAGGAGACGGTAGGCCTAACCATAGAAAGATAGCCGTGTTTTCAAATTCGTCCTGTTTCAAGAGCGTTTTCATGACGGGTTAGAGGAGACGGTAGGCCTAACCATAGAAAGATAGCCGTGTTTTCAAATTCGTCCTGTTTCAAGAGCGTTTTCATGACGGGTTAGAGGAGACGGTAGGCCTAACCATAGAAAGATAGCCGTGTTTTCAAATTCGTCCTGTTTCAAGAGCGTTTTCATGACGGGTTAGAGGAGACGGTAGGCCTAACCATAGAAAGATAGCCGTGTTTTCAAATTCGTCCTGTTTCAAGAGCGTTTTCATGACGGGTTAGAGGAGACGGTAGGCCTAACCATAGAAAGATAGCCGTGTTTTCAAATTCGTCCTGTTTCAAGAGCGTTTTCATGACGGGTTAGAGGAGACGGTAGGCCTAACCATAGAAAGATAGCCGTGTTTTCAAATTCGTCCTGTTTCAAGAGCGTTTTCATGACGGGTTAGAGGAGACGGTAGGCCTAACCATAGAAAGATAGCCGTGTTTTCAAATTCGTCCTGTTTCAAGAGCGTTTTCATGACGGGTTAGAGGAGACGGTAGGCCTAACCATAGAAAGATAGCCGTGTTTTCAAATTCGTCCTGTTTCAAGAGCGTTTTCATGACGGGTTAGAGGAGACGGTAGGCCTAACCATAGAAAGATAGCCGTGTTTTCAAATTCGTCCTGTTTCAAGAGCGTTTTCATGACGGGTTAGAGGAGACGGTAGGCCTAACCATAGAAAGATAGCCGTGTTTTCAAATTCGTCCTGTTTCAAGAGCGTTTTCATGACGGGTTAGAGGAGACGGTAGGCCTAACCATAGAAAGATAGCCGTGTTTTCAAATTCGTCCTGTTTCAAGAGCGTTTTCATGACGGGTTAGAGGAGACGGTAGGCCTAACCATAGAAAGATAGCCGTGTTTTCAAATTCGTCCTGTTTCAAGAGCGTTTTCATGACGGGTTAGAGGAGACGGTAGGCCTAACCATAGAAAGATAGCCGTGTTTTCAAATTCGTCCTGTTTCAAGAGCGTTTTCATGACGGGTTAGAGGAGACGGTAGGCCTAACCATAGAAAGATAGCCGTGTTTTCAAATTCGTCCTGTTTCAAGAGCGTTTTCATGACGGGTTAGAGGAGACGGTAGGCCTAACCATAGAAAGATAGCCGTGTTTTCAAATTCGTCCTGTTTCAAGAGCGTTTTCATGACGGGTTAGAGGAGACGGTAGGCCTAACCATAGAAAGATAGCCGTGTTTTCAAATTCGTCCTGTTTCAAGAGCGTTTTCATGACGGGTTAGAGGAGACGGTAGGCCTAACCATAGAAAGATAGCCGTGTTTTCAAATTCGTCCTGTTTCAAGAGCGTTTTCATGACGGGTTAGAGGAGACGGTAGGCCTAACCATAGAAAGATAGCCGTGTTTTCAAATTCGTCCTGTTTCAAGAGCGTTTTCATGACGGGTTAGAGGAGACGGTAGGCCTAACCATAGAAAGATAGCCGTGTTTTCAAATTCGTCCTGTTTCAAGAGCGTTTTCATGACGGGTTAGAGGAGACGGTAGGCCTAACCATAGAAAGATAGCCGTGTTTTCAAATTCGTCCTGTTTCAAGAGCGTTTTCATGACGGGTTAGAGGAGACGGTAGGCCTAACCATAGAAAGATAGCCGTGTTTTCAAATTCGTCCTGTTTCAAGAGCGTTTTCATGACGGGTTAGAGGAGACGGTAGGCCTAACCATAGAAAGATAGCCGTGTTTTCAAATTCGTCCTGTTTCAAGAGCGTTTTCATGACGGGTTAGAGGAGACGGTAGGCCTAACCATAGAAAGATAGCCGTGTTTTCAAATTCGTCCTGTTTCAAGAGCGTTTTCATGACGGGTTAGAGGAGACGGTAGGCCTAACCATAGAAAGATAGCCGTGTTTTCAAATTTCTCCATTGTAGTGTGGACGCAGCCTGAGTTTTTCACCGCTTTTTCTCACAAATTGAAGTAAATTCCAATGATTGACAAAGCGTTCCCTCACCAGCCGCTCCCTAGATACAGAGCGTTAGTGAGATATTCTGTTTGAGATATTCTAGATTCTTGTGGTGTGTCTGTTTTGTTATCTCTTTGTTTTTATAGGCCTAGAATTCGACGAATACGTTTCAAGTAAAGACTATTGCCTGATTCAAGATTATTTTGTAGTTTTTTAAAATTTATTTCGAGATTGCTTACAGACCTTACAAGATTGCTTACAAGCAACACGGTGTAATAAGGGGTGGCGTTTTGTGTCGCTGCCATTCACAGCTATTTCTGCTCATTGATACTCAGCTATAAGAGAGCGAGATGGCCGCTTGCATCTAACGGTTAATTTTTTTTTATGTAAGGTACAAGAAACATATTATGCAAGACTCGACATTTTTCTCTCCATATGACAGTTTCAGAAGCCGGCATAAGTATGGCCATCACGGTGCTTCTGATGTCTCAGATGTTTTATAAACTGGACGCTCAGCAGTGTATAATTCGAGGCGAATATTCCATCCGCGGCATGATGTTAAAAGGATATACCTACATCGAGGAGAAGACCGGAATCTGGCTTAATTGTTTAGACAAGTGTGATGATGACATCAGATGTCAAAGCTTTAATTACGTCATCAGCCAAAGCATATGTGAGTTGAACAACCGCACCAAAGAAGCCAGACCTGAAGATTTTGTTCCGGACAGCGATCGGTTCTATATTAAACGATTCAGGGAAAGAGGTATTGTTCTTCTTTGAATGTTCATCTCTATGTTTTTTTGAGGATAGTATTCGTATCTTATGCAAGCGTGCCCAGAATCTCCTTGTATCCCGAGGACTACGAACAAAGCCCGCAGCTTTCGTCAAGAGAGCTTAACATTAGTGGTGTTTAGTAATGACAGAAAAGCGCTAAAAAACAATGTTTTTGACTTTTCTATTTTTAGTTCCTATTGGATCCGTTCCCGAGTTGCCAGCTGAGTCGTGCGCCGAGATCAGGGCGAGTGAAGGAGAAGATGCAGTCAGCGGTAATTACTGGTTCGATTCAATTAAACCTGGCGAAGTAGTCCCGGCTCGTTGTGACATGTCTAAACTAGGTAACTAGACGTTTGGGGTTTTACCTCGATTTACTATTTTCAAACCTCTTCAATAAGCCTCCTGCGCCTATAAAATGCCTCAAATTCCAGGCTGTTTCCATGATTGGAGACTCTGTATCCTACAAAATAAGCCATACCCACGATGCGTGCAACCTTGATGCTAAATCAAATTTTTACGAACTTTTACATGTAATTTATGCTTCCTTACTGTTAATGAAATAGCCAGGAGAGTGTTGTTATAAATTCTTCCAATAAGCGTCCCCATAGCAAAAAGTTGCATTCAAGACATTGGCATCGACTGTTTAATTTATGAGGTGCTTTTCATAAAGAACGAAACGCCGGGCTCCATCTGCGCAAAACTATTTGTTTAGAGTTAAATTTATCAGGGAGAGAAGAATCGGTCTATAAATGACAACATTAACAGAAATGGCCTATATAGGTCATGGAGCTGAGAGCCAGATAGTTGGATTTCAAGTCTGCTGAGATTTTCTAATAATAAACAGTCAAACCGGCTTTATCTTCCCCATGCACTTGAAGGCGAGCGCCTACAAGTTTCCCGCCGGCAAGAAATCTCTGCGAAATATCGGTTTCACAGATATTCTACGGAGAAAATCCATTGTGATCCCCTGATTGGATTATGATCATGATGGACATTTGATGAAGATGTTTTCTTTTTCCGTATAACAAGCAAATAATCTCAAAGTTTTCAAGTACTCTCAGACGCAATGTTAGTAATCCTATATCCCTTTACTGTCCTGTCCAAGTTGCTGTGCTGTGTCTATTTCAGGCGGCCATGAAAGGACCTTGAATTTATATCACTGTAAATTGAGAATACGCTCCTGGTGTGCAAATACAGTTGTTCAGTGTTATTAGTTTTGCTCTGGGCTTTCTCAAGTATAACATAAACTATTGCAGACATGATTATAGATGCGAATGCAGCCATAACACTACTGGAAAAAAGACCTGAAAAAATTTTCAGGCTTTCGAACGGGATTCGAACCCACGACCTTTGCGATACCGGTGCAATGCTCTTCCAACTGGGCTATCAAAGCCAGATGAGAGCGACCGTGTGTGGGTTGGCCCTTTATGGGCCAACCCACAACTGCAGCTGCGCACCAGGATTTAATGGAACACAGTAAGAAATAGGTGACTGCAGCCAAAATAATATATTTTCCTTAATATATTTTCAACCCTTAAAGGGCCAACCCACACATTCAGCTCAGCTGGGAGAGCATTGCACCGGTATAGTAAAAGTCGCGGGTTCGAATCCCGTTCAAAACCCTGAAAATTTTTTCACCTCTTTTTTCCAGTAGTGTTATGGCTGCATTCGCTTCTATCATCATATCTACATTTAATTGCTACTGTTGGACGTCTATTACTATGGAATTAGCTATTGTATTTTAATCCGTTCTATCTTCTTAAACAGATATCGATGACTGCGCAAGTCATCCATGTAAGAACAACGGGACCTGTACAGACCGAGTGAACGGATTCAACTGCAGCTGCGCACCAGGATTTAATGGAACACAGTGTGAAAGTAGGTAACAATATCCAAAATTAGTTGAATTTCCTCTATAGCGGACTCCCGCCAGTGGAGCACTATGGGTAAGAAAATCTGGTAACCTATCGATGCGAACATTTGTTGGCTAAGGCGTCACTGTACGTATGGTTGTCGACGGTCCGGCCACTACATGTAAACCAATACAAAATGTACCACTGTGCAGGACATGATGTTTCAAAAGTCTTGCTTTCATTTACAACACAGAAAATTCCCTCTTTGGGTCTTAAAATGAAAAGACACAATATTTTCAGAAACACTAAAGAGGAATATCTTAGCGTAGAGATTAGTAAGAACCTTGCTGGTGAGCAATACCTGGAGAATATCCTATCTTTCGATGGTTTCAAAAACATGACGATGAAGATGTGCGCTTTGAGCTGTGGTTTGAGCTGATCGCCGATTTTGAAGCAGCTTTAAGGACCTCTTCAACACAAAAATTACCAAAATTAATGAACGACGTTTCAACATAGTCGGATGTCATTGTCAAGTAATTGTGTAGCTTAGTTTTTTTAGGACTTCAGAAAACGAAATGGTAATGTACAGTATGTCTTCAAAGTTGGATTCGATTTTTTAAAGACACTGGTAAAACTACCGCGGATAAAATGACTGCTCAGTCGTAGCTGCATTAATAATATATAGATTTAGCCAAGCTTAAAAGCGGAGCCCCTGGGCCGGGTTGTCCAAAGCCCGATTAAGCTAACCCAGGATAAGCGAGAATTTGTTTTGTAACTTTGCGGTGAGGTTTTCTGTTTATATTGTTTGGCTTTCTGTTTTGAATAATCACAAACTACACAAGGAGCCCACGACCCAAAAGTGAAAATCATTTGATAATACGTCGAAGTCTTTGAAATTTTGCACGTTTTTCTGCTTCCAAATGCACTTGTCAGCGATATCTTGAATTATAATCAATCTTAAATGACGTTTCTTTAACATTTTTTTTCATTCGGTCCCCTTTCGATGTGAAGTTTATGCTTTGAAAGCGATCAGGATTTTACTGTCGCACATGGTGGTTTGTTTATTTTGTTTATGGACATTTCCTCGTTTTGTTTGTTCAATAGCCCGTTTCCGAGTTGCCTTAAGCCTCTCTATCAAAGCGAGGCCTGGTGGACAACTACTCATATGAAAATGAGCATAACTTGCGTATGAAAGGATGCGGGGCACCAAAACTCGCTTTGAGAAAGAGGCTAAAGGTAATTCGGAAATTTCCTATTCATTCGGCTTGGTGAAATGCTTATTGCTAAATTTCATTTCATTGCATTGTGTTACTATTTTGTAAGATAATGGTTTGCCACTGACTATTTTTTATGCTTTTTTTCAAGACATTTCGGCTGGTGCTTGAGCCTTCATCAATTGAAATACTAACGTTAGTACGCGTGATTCAAAAAACTTCACGTCGAACGCGCGCTGAGGAAAATTCCGCGTGAAGTTTCAAGAAAACGTAGCGCGAGACTTATGCGCATGCGAAGACTTGTTGACTTCTGGGATGACGATGTGGTCATTTCCAGATTGCAGATCCTTTATTGGCATCTAAGCTTCCAGAGTCGCTCGTGAAAGTTAGCTTCGTATCCAACAACTCTGAGACCTCCAAAATCCATTTTGTGGTTGTTTTCGTGGACATGGCAGGAGTTCTTGGAGTCATGGTCGAACATAGAAACAGCCCTTTTGTGTTCTGCAATCCGAGTTTTCAGTGATTGTTTAGTTTTACCGCAGTATAGAAAACTGCAGTCGGTGCAACTGCTTTTGCGCACTTTGTAAGATTGTGGCCAATCAACCTTTTCCTAGGCTTTAGGTCGCGGGAAGAAACTGTTCACAGTTCGCAATGGTTTGAAGACGACTTTGATTAGTTGTTGCCTTAAGAGCAAATGCACAGAAATATCGAGCAAAGCGTGGCCACGGTCAAAATTTAAGTGACCTTTGTTTCGAGTTTATAGAGAGGTATTTATGAGTTTTTAAAGGTTTGGGGGTTCATTTTCTAAATATGGCCTACTTTCAGGAATATTTGGCACATTGGATTTCACGCTCTCTCTGGCCAAAAAATGGCCGAATAAATTGGCAAAAAAAAAATAGCATTGCAAAAACGTCCTCCCGTTAGTAGTTAAAATTCTATCTTCGGGAATTAGATACTAATATTAAAAGAAGAAAGTTTTTGGCACTCTATACTTGTCTGTTTTTCGGTTGCAAATGATAGCTGTCACTGTGAAAAACATATCCTTTGATGAAGATTTGACAATAGCCGTTGTAAAGCAAGTTATAGTCTATAATTGCAAAAAGACTTTTCGTTATGTGGCCGAGCTCGAATCGAGCTCATTTTATGGCTATAAGATGTTGAAATACTCTTCTTGCACGAGATATAAACATTTGCTTGGGTTTTTAAGCGGGCACTTTGAAAAACGCTTCCAAAATCTGAGAATTTTCTTTGAAATTCCAAATAATTTGCAGATTCTCAAGGTAACGAAACACTGAAGCGGTTTAAGCTGCT